CAAAGCTAATGTCGTAATTATTTATGGCGACGGTTTTCGTCGCTCTTTGAATTTTACAATTTTTCGACTTCATGTTCATGCAGTGAATCAAATTTCACATTTCTCTCAACTGAGTTTTTGAGATCTCTGTGTATCTAAAATGTGCAAATCGTCTCGAGCATCTCTTACTAGAGTTATTAGATAGGCGTGGATTGATCAACAGTTCCAGGAAAAAACTTGAAAATGTGTACAGTCGAGTAGATTATCCGTTAAATAATGTGTGCTTGCAGTGAAGGTGAAATGCGGTAAAATTTGCGCGTGAACAATTAGCTTCGACTGTGACGCCGGTCAATTGCGCGCGCAAGATACCCGCAGTACTGGCGTGGCTACTTGTTCACGCGCAAATTTCACCGCATTTCATCTTCTGTGCAAGCACACTATATTAAGCGGAAAATCTGCCCGACTGTACAGATTCTCTTTGATTAAGCGATATTAATGAGCAACCATCTGGATCAAATCAATTCCAATCAATAGCTGCTCTCATCTTTCTGCTTTTGCCTACCGTCATCAGTTCTAATTTAGTTTTTCATGTAGTTTCCATTTGCTGACTCGTATTAGATTAGCTTGCGGTAATCTCTTGATTGGAAACGCTTTAAAGGTGCTTCAGAAGCTAGAAGAAAAATTGTGATTATCCAGTTTTCTAGGATCATTGTGATGAAATCCAGTTGTATGACGCTGCATTAGCCTTAGATTTGCCGCAAGAGATTATAAATCCGTGAACTTTTGCTAGGTTTCAGGATTAGCCTATCTACGCAATGTGAGCACATCAATGCTTTGTTTGATTCACAACTGCTGTCTTATATCACTTATTCTTTGCCCAAAATACGTCTTGAATAGGAATTTACGACTCATGGTGTATTTATCTTTTATCTGCATAATAATTTCTAATGATGAACATGTATTGGCTTTGACTGCAACTTAGTATTTTCTAAGGTTCCGGTTCTCTTCTTTGTCCACTTCTGCTTGAATTGAAGTACAACTTCAAGTTCTGTTCACACCCGTGAAGAACAATAAGGTCCTTCCGCTTCACAATTTATGTGCATCCAAGCATTTAAGGTTCATTCAGAGGCTGTAGGGCCTCATTAGAAAAGTATTTCGCTCGTGCTACATTAGGATTAGTTGCGAATAAAGCGGCAATTGTTTTGTTTTTTATGTAATGAAAGTAAAAAAAAACTTACAGTAGAACAAGAGTGCCTCCCGTCTTCTATATGGATGTGTTTTACGTCTTCAAGCTTCCGGCATATGCTCTTTCCTAATTTCTACAGAAGTTTAACGCTTTCTAGACATAGGTGCAGTGTCTCTTCAGACATTTTTTAGTTATTAACTTTCTCTTTTCAGAAATCCCCTTTTTCATGGTGTTATAGCAAGCTTGAAAAGTGAGATGGTGTTAAAAGCTTTGACTCAATTGATACAGACCCGGTAACTTTACAAGGTATAATCATAAGCGCTTACCGTAGGCATCGCAAATTATCGGCAATTTATGTGTAATTTTCTGTGGTCGGCTATCACGTCAGTGTTCCCCTGTCACTTGCGTCAAAATTTTATACAATTTGATAAAATTGAGGTTCATCCCTTGACACTCTTCGCTGCCATTTACACTTTTGCAGTGATGAGCATTTAAATGGAAAATGACTGTCATAGCATCGTTCTTTCTGCTTGAAAGCTTTTGTTAAGACTCATTCTTCCATCTTAATGACTACGTTGTGTTTTGGTCAAAACATTATTATTCAAAGGTAAAAAGTTGTAGGAGTCTCGAAAGACCTCATTAGATGCTCTGATCTTATTGCCAACTTTTTTCAAGCTCTCTAGACCTTCCTCGTTACGTTACTGCTATTCATATCTTTACCTTGTGGCTTTTGTGCCCATATAGGCCTTGGGCAGAGTTCAAGCCACTTGATCGTCGCGATTCAATCGCTACAAGACAAGTGTTACGAGTTCAGTGCATGCCGATCTTCTTGTATTTCGGTTGTGATAGTTAGTCACGATTAGTCGTGTTGGAAAACTATCACATCCGAATTGCAAGAAGATCGGCATGCATTAATATTGTTACAGTTGTCTTGTCGCGATCAATCGCGACGATCAAATCGCTTGAACTCTGCCCGAGGCCATACGGATTGATATGATGGGTAATGGGCACTGAAAGAGTTTGTACTTTCCGCGTTGACTTCTCGAGCAAAACTTTAGTGCCTGAATTTTTGTTCATATCCACTCGTTCCCGTAATGATTGACATTTATTGTATATCCGTTTAATGTGCGCTTAGAAAATTGCATTGTTCTCTTTGAAGCATGCTTTAGGGCGTATACAAAACAAAGTGTTTGACAGTACTCGGCATGGGTGGCTTGCAAGCTGGAATCGTCTTTGGGACAAAAGCAAAGGGGTTATCGTTTTTGTGGGTCTAAAATTAGGTTTTTTAGCCGACCTTTCGTTTTTTACGATCCGGATATTTCGGATAAGGGTCAAAGGGGACTTTGCGGAGGTTAAGGAGGACATCGTTTTTTTTTGCATTCAAAAGCCACCTCGTGCCGAGCCCTAGTATTTGATAATGAAGTCCTTTTTTTTATTGGGAACGGTCGCTATCGCCTAGTTTTTGAATTTGCGCCTCACGTTTTCTGTGTTTTGTATTTGAAAGTTTATCTCTAAAAAGACACAGAATAAATTAGCGTCGCGTTTTAGTAAAATTTCCTCATTAGGATAGGTTTCAACAGAATTATAACTGACCTATGACGCAGGCGCAGGTTATTACGCTTTTAATAAAGGCTATAGTATTTTTTTAACATTATGTTTGGGATTTAGAACAAATTTTACGCCCTATGCTGGAGGAGGCTATAGTTTTAGTACATGTAAGTTTTCTCATACAGTCTACGATTCACATTTTATGGTCAGATTTACTTAACATATAAGTTAGAATGCGTTGGGATATACCAAGAAGAATCGTGAACGCCATTTTTTTCTAGTTAATCAATGTAATCTTGCAAAATTTTTCATTCCATCCAAAGATCCGACATCAGATTCGTACCTGTGTGTTACGAGGAAGCTTGCGATCTTTAATTGACGTAAAGCAGGTGTAATAAGCTTCGAAGTATTCAATCATTCGTTCCAGGTGAAAAGTTAGAGCTATTTACTTTTTCACCAGCTTATTTCCTACCGACAAGTCAAAGTACCAATTTCGTGAAAAGGTAACACTTAGGGAGTGAGATCGAAACAGCTCACTAGCAATTTATACTGAGTGCACGAAGTCTAGACGGATAAGACATTTTGATAATTAATGTTTAGTGGGATACCACTAGCAATTTTTCCCAAATTGGTGCTGTACCGAATCAGAAGACTTTGTCGGTAGCAAAGGCTCAAACATCAGATGTATACCGTTCTCTAGGGATAGTGGTTTTTGATTTCTAGCTGTTTTTCAACGATAAATACGGGTCGTCATTCTTATGTCAATATCTATCCGCAAACCATAGAAATGTTAGTCTATCTTGCCGATATTTTGCCGTCAGAATGCTACTTCCAGCTTCTGTCTGAATTTGTTCCAGAAAAGGTAGGCAGTAAAACTCACCAAAAAGCTTTCAGTTTCATTGTGAATTTTATCTAATTAACGAACTTGAGCAGTTAAAGGCAGTGTCCGGGCAAAATGGGGGTTCTGAGATTTCTCTGCCATGTGAAAGTAGCCCCCCTGAGACACAACATCGCGCAACTGCGAGCATAAAACGTTCGACCTAAAGGAAGAAAAACGATTGCAAATTGGGGAAACTTACGCCTTGGGGCGGGGTCCTCCGAGTTGTTTGAATTCCTGCCAGACGGCAGAGTACGTATGCCGCCACAGTTAAAAACCGTGCGCTCTTTGCAACCTCTGCGTCTTAGCCTGGCGGGGATCCCCAAATTTCGAAATGTGAGGACTTGGAAAATGCATGTTCTCGCCGTTTTCGCGCCTTCTGATGTGGATTTTCGGATTCAGCGTTGCGGATAACCCCAGATAAGTTGATTTTTTAGAAGTCGAGTTTCTGCCCGGACACTGCCTTTAACTCCTGCCCTTCTATTCAATGAACCTCTCGCGCCCGAAATCAATTACCTTTGCGAGGCTGCTACCTTCGCTAACCTGGCTAGAACAACAACATCAAATTTTTCTCTCACTGTTTTTATTCTGCAAATTCCTGGTCATTGATTGTAGGCATAATTGTATATACAATTGGCCCGACATGCAGACGTAATATTCAGTTTTGCAGCTTTTGTCTCTCTACATACTGATGGTTGCGTGCAGGTGTGTTCTATAAAAACAGCTTAATTGCGTAAGCAACTCATTTAAAAATAAAATCGGAGAGATTTCACGCATTCCATTTCCGTTTCCGTCTTCTTATAAATCTTGAATCTTATACAAGCTGTATTCCGTTGGCTCAGCTAAGACGCGAAGCTGAAATGCTAGTACTTACTGAGCGTGTTCCCAACAACATATTTTAGGGCATGGACCATAGCTAATCTCGCGTTTTTAGTGTCATCAGATGGTCCATAGTAATTGACGCCTTCGTCTTAAAAAAAAATTCTGCTGGAGTTCTAAGTCAAGAATTTTCCGTACTATCCCATCATTCCATGGTCTATTCAACATTCTGTGATCTACTCACTATGCTGTAGGGCGGAACTCAAAATTCTTTTCAAAATTTCAAGAGGTAGAATCATACCTCCGATTCAAGCTCGAGGTTGAGGTATGACACGTACCGTGGTGACTAGATTAGTAGATCTTGATCCTTCTACGTGTTTTTATAAATCACTTCGAACATTGGCTGATCCCAGGAAAAGCTTCCTCTGGTGGACAAGCAAAATCGAGTTTCCTCCATTTTTATCAACTTTTTACCCTTCATCCCAATGCGCAAGATGATGCCTCTTTTTCTAGAATCGCTAGCACAAAGTAGCACGCACTAACCTTGCTGATTATCGGATTGAGGAAGTTGGTGATTAGTTAGTAGTAATGGGATAAATCGTCACTTACAATTATGCAGGATGTATCGGGATCTGAACATCATGGCAATCAAAGTATGTAGTGGGTTTTCTTTCTTAGTAATTTTTAGAGGCTGCTTGCTAACCGTTGCTAATCGAGTCCCGTTCCACAACGCAAGATTGTAGCGCGTAAATTTTACGTCACACTTACGCTGACTTCTCAGCTGACTTAGTTTTGTATCTGGATGCTATAAACTACAAAGTTGCCCTACTTTCTCACACGACGTAAATAACAAGCACAAAGAAGAAGTAATATTCTCTACAGTAGACCTTTTTTTCAAACGATTTCTTGATTGCTTGGTCAGAAAAATTTTACGTAAAAACATCCCATCGGTCTTGATAGTGCTCATATCCGCAGTGAGTTTAATTTTTTTTTTAAATTCCTTAGTTTTGCAGAGCAATTGAGATCAGAAGGCAGTAGCATCAAGAGGCATTCAGTAGTGCTAGACGCTTTGCTGCTTATCAACATTTGCATACCTTTTGCTAAGTACGGAAAAATTGCCATTCACTCCTTAGGTTCTATGGAATCTTAAGGCAGTTTGGATAAACCCTAATTCGATCGTGAAATTTCTGTCTCTTCACCTTTTTCTACGCATAAAGTAACAGAAGACTTTCTTGAAGTGATCTCGATTTCCAGAGTAGAAATCATTTTTTAGTTTTTTCCTGATAACTATGTATCTTGAGTTTGAGCGCTGCTTAATAACATGAGAACCTCAGTGTCACCATCACAAAACTTTTCTTTTGATTCGCTTCATATTTATGTTGATCAGTACATATTTTCACATAAACTTCCGTAATTTCGCGCATACGAAAGTCTTGTTATGTCTGTGGCATAAGGCTAAGTAGTTGCCAGAAAGGAAATGAGCACATTTCTGTGGGAGAAGAACAAAGCTTGTACGCACAAACGTGGGATAAATGATGTTTTGTATTTTCCTGGTGTGTCTATCAACACTTTTAAAAGTTGCAATAGACACCGTACTCTCCGAGAGAATAATTACTCAAAAAAAGTGTCATAAATATGAAATTAAGCTAGAAAAGTCTGGTGTTGGAAGAATGATGTTTAGAAGATTAATGCGTGTCTCCTATGTTTCTGTTTTTTGTGGCAACAATAAAAATATCAACCTTCTTACAGTAATCCAACTTTTTTTGAAGTTTCCTTGTCACTTAGTTTCTTGATGTTTTGTCAAAGCGGCGTGCATTCACTTTTCTTATAAGAATTTTTTTCTACCTCACCGTACTTAACGACTTCATTTTGCCAATGCAAAAAGTTCTGGGTTCAGCAAGATTTGGATGAATACGCATCATTATCGTTTGTATGGACTCTGATGAGGTGATAGTAAAGCTACCTTGATTATGTAAGGAGATCATACCAGGAAAAGTAAATTATGCTCAGACATATTATCTTTTGATTTGTACCAGCGAAACAACTTTGTATCAGAACCGCATGCATTATTTACTTATTGTTGACATCTACGTAGGCGATCTCATTTCCTGTTTCCTGCAAAGCTTCTCATTATGAGCTGATAACCTGAGATTAATTCTTTGGTAATCTGTCCTCATTTGCTTGTCAACTGATTGATAATCTGTATCGAGTCGTTGTTCTTTGCTCTAATATCCCATTACGCGAACAAATCAAATTCTGCAGATCACAAAGTGCCAAAACGATGGAATTTGACGAGAATTCCAGTCACTACAAAATTCTTGGTATTGTACATGTAAAATATATTGGAATTTTCTGTGGCCTTATAGGTTAGTAATTTTCGATCAATGTATTAATTTTTATGCTTTCGCCTAATTGTTTTGTGATAACTTCTAAATTATAATTTTATAGGTTTGATAGCGACAGTGATTGCATTTAGCGTTGGAGTATCATTTTTCCCATGGGCACAGTACGATACATCCTTTGATGCCATCGGTTGGTTATGTTTTTACTAAACAATTTGGGTTAGCCCAGTTACCATAATTATGAAGTATCAAAGATTCTCAAAATATATGGGTGTTCAAGATCTCAGAAATAGTTATATCGAAAGCATAAATTTTGGTCTCACCTTATTCTCGGTTTACAAAATTTGACAACGCGGACTAAAGAAAACAAAATTTACTATCTCTCTTTTCAGCCCTGCTCGGTTTCATAATTTTCTTGATATCTGGAATCATCGTACACTATATGCTTATCCATGCAGTACGCTATGTTAAGGTGAGAATTTCGATGCTTCGCTCAAATGTTGAATAATGAATGGACTTTTGAACTTCGAAAAATTCCATCTTTACTTTCAGTTCCGGCTGGTACTGCCTTTTTTGATCTATCATGCCTTTCTGATTTCTTTGAATGCTATCACCGGCTTGATTGCTGTTGGAGAACTGGTGGCTGATCAGGTAATTTGGGATGAATCCTGTTACTTCCGCACCTGAGACGGCTTGGTTTGATGAATCAACTTTTCTAGACCCCTCAATTAGATATCGGAGACATCACTGCTAGAGGAGTGCTATTGGTGGTGCCAGTAGTAAGCTGCATACAAGTACTGATGCTCGTAGCCGTCGCTAAAGTACGAGTTTACCTGAGAGACAAACGACGTCATATACGGAATGGGCTTCCACCTGTAAGTGATATACTGTATTTTATGGTTAAAGTATTGATTATTGTTTTTCAGCCAATTCGAGAAGTTGTTCTGCCTGGAAATGTCCCTTTTACGCACACTCATAACAAAGTTTATGTGGAATCCTCGCCAAGCGTACAGCGAGCATGCTCGTCGCAGGACATAACGAATAGCAAGGAAAAATCATAATTATATCGCTAAGTGTCGAATGTCTGACATGTAATCATGCATCCAGTGTTTCTTCACTGTTTCAATCGCCACAGGCGTATAGACCGGAAGCGAAGTCCCGTAGTTGCCCAACCCCGCCTCTCGTGGCGAACCCCTCCCACTGATAATAACTTGTGGCAATGCCGCTCTGCGTAGAACCCACACGAAAGGTTGCTTGTTTGAAGCACGAATGTATTTCTGATATCGTATTCGGGTGAAACAATCCCTGAGTTGATTGCTGGGCATTGCGTTATATGGAAATCATTTTACACAACGGGTATTGTGTTCTCACATTTTTTTTCACTTTGTTTTGCCAAAACAAAGAATGCTCTCATGACCGTCTCTGTATTTTGCTTTGCTTGATATAAATGATTTGATCACTGCTGATATATTATTGTCCCAGTATGGGAAGGTCCTTACATGGCTAAAATATGCTTTTTTCCCTTGACGTAGTCTCTTTCTTGAGCGCCGCACATCTATGCTCTGTTACTCTTCACCTTGATTTTTCTAGCATTATAAGTATGGAATAAGGTCTTCAATAAGGCTGGCTCACTGTGGGGAAAAGATACTATGTGATTTTGGCCTTTAATATGAGGGTTATGTCATGATATTCGCTGAAAAACGCTGTGAAAAGAATCTCTCAGACATGAGCGAATCTAGCAGATATGAAAAAATGACCACAAGTTCACTTGAAAGCACCACGAAAAAAGCATTTTTCTAGATATTTGCTGAATATTACGCTAGTGTCGAAAAAATGAGCATGGCGACGTTGTCTACATCATAGGCCAAGGCAAGATTCACCGATGGCACTCTGCTGGACTCTGTTATCTATACAAAATTTGGCAAATACCATTTATTCTAGGACTAGGAGACCCGAGACCGCATTGCACACATTGTCTAAACAAGACTAATCGTGTACTTAGCAAGTTTAAACTTGTTATTTATCTCATTCATGTTTATTCACTCTTTGGAAACAGGAAAGAACAAACTCAATCTTGTTAAGACAATGTCCGCAATGCGGTTTCGCGTCTCCTAGTCGTAGAATAGATGATAGTTGTTATAATGACCCAGAAAGAGAAAAGCGTTTAGAATGATAAATGCTTTCCGTTTTAGAAAAAAGAAACTAACAATAAGATTCACACTCTATGTATCATTCAATTTCTGACTAATAGACACGATACGCTTTGCGTACGCGTGATCCTCAGCTCATAAGCGAGTGAGTTTTGTTTAATTTACTAACAGAAATTTGTGAAAAAACATGTTCGAACACGCGCTGTTCAACAAGCTCGAACATGTTCTTTCGGCTACATAGTAGTAAGTCAACCAAAACGTGTTTGAACTCATCCATGAACTTGTTGATAAAACGTACGCAAAGCGTGCCCATGTCTCTTAGTCAGAGAATTAGTGAAATTCAGTTTGCTCTTAATGAATTCTCCATTTCATGCTTCAACATCTTACCCAATCAGTCCACATCGAGTACCATTTGTACTTTTTCCAGTCCTTTTCAGTGTCTAAATCATGTGAATTTGTAAAAAATACGGAAATCAGAACGGAGTTTATCCACTTGTATACGTTCGGAGCCCAGTGCCTCCGTAATCTGTCGTCACATTTCCGAAAAACGTCCCAGGCGGGACTCGTACCGAGCATGAAGTAGGTCATTGTTGCGCACTTGCGCACTGCGCTATCCACACCAACTTCAGGTATGGCACGCAGCTAGGACAGATTGGTGCTCTTGTCAATAAAATTTTTTCCCACCAAATTAAACACTGGGGCTTTACACTCAAAAAATGACGAGGATTTATGCGCAAGCATGCGATATTTGTATATAACGCTAATTGTAGATATCTTTAGTCTGTCAGCAAATCAGCGAAAGAATAAAAACGCTTTCTTCAGCGAAAAATGGAATTTAAAAATGTGGGAATCACAAAATGAGAAAATAGCAATTCCAAGATATTGGCTAAGAAAGTACTTACTTCTATCCTATAATACAATAGACAGAAAATATGTAGATATGTCCACCTCATTTCAAAGTGCCAAACTGATCATTTTATTCGAGGTGAACTAGGTTTATTAAGGGCCATAATCATAATACTGTAGTAAAAAGACGCTCAAGTTTGATGAGTACGAAAAACTTCTGGGAAACACAAGTTGGACGTTTCAAGAATTATAGTGCCTGGTGAAAGAGCGGAATACAGCCAACATATAATGAACGTCGACATAAACTTATCTAAATTGCATGAGCTGCAGCCGGTATAGAAGCGCGTCCTGTGTTTCCCATCTAAGAAAATCGATGATTATTATAGTGCTATAAAGGATAGAAATTTGTGGGGTGTTGCCTTGCTTGAGATGACGGCAACAGTCGCGTAAAACACTAACAGTGCGCACTTTTCAGGTTTTGCGCTCTGAGGCCATTTTAAAGGGCAAATCTGGCCTGCATACTGTACGGAATAACTCAACTTTCTCTTGGCATAAATTCTTGCCAATGGATTCTTAAAGCGGAAGTTCGAAGGCCACACAAAGTCGCAAAGGAATGAAAAAGCTGCGATGGGAGAAGGGCGTGTTGAAGGCTCGAGAAAGGTAAGGCACATCGACTCAGACAACTGACCGGGACTTCCGGAGAGCGTTTGGAAAACTTCCGTCGGGTTACCTGTTCCAAAGAATGCGAACCACAACAGCAAAAGAACACCTAGACGAGATTTGAACCGTGCCTATTGTCACTTACTATCTTCTGCATTGATGACATGTTTGACAATGCACTCTAGTTGTTGGCGAGGCAACATCGTAAGTGACAACATTTTCAAAAACCTGCGGCAATACTGACATGTCAAAGCACATTTGCAGTAGTAAACAAAATTCTGCGAACCGTTGCAAATTTTGCTTGTTCTGCGGAAGTTCCGTTAAATTGTCTGAGGACACTGGCTCGCCTTTATTGCACACCAACTAGGCTTAATGCAAAATCTGACATTGTAAACTTACTTTCACCTTGTAGTCTTCATTTGTAGACGTTATTCAAAGCGCAGCCTTGAACATGGTTCACTAGGGGATTGTGCTAGTGAGCACTCTTTGCAGCTCTAGCATGACCAGAATTGAGCAAGAGGTCAGGCACAAGTCTTTCCAAAACGACCCCCCCCCCCCCAGTGAAAGCCCCTAAACGACCCCTCTGCTTCACCTCCAGGACCTCAAGCTATGATAATTCGAAGAGATCAGCCGTTTTTGGGAGGTTCTTGTTTTTTGGAGGTCTGTAGGTCGACTTTCTGCGATTGCACAGCACACTCAACTTGACGGCAATTTTTAGATTTTGGATAGCCCTACTTTTAGAGCTATAATTCCCACAGGGGTGTATTGTTTGGCTCCATATTTGCAGTATTGCAAGAAGAGGCTTTGAATTCAATACTCATAGCAGAAATGGAGCGATTTTTAGATTTTGAAAACAAGTTAATCGGGTCAGGCGCAACCCCTCAAAAGCTCAGGCGGCCTGACCTTTTGTGGGGTTGCGCCTGACCCGATTAACTTTATCATTGAAGAAGCTTTTTTATTCAAGTTTTATGTGAATCACTAGCACAACCTTCGAAGATTCCACAGTAAGTGTTTGGACTTGATTCGACTTGTTTCGGCCTTGTGGTAATCCGTGGAGTTGAAGCAGTCATGGCGAAAAACGCGCCGGTCGGAATTTTGGCATTATTTCTTACTCAACTATTTGCAAGCGATACAAAGCGCAATTTTTAGCCTAGACTAGTAGGGAACAATACTTTGTTACGAGTACAAAAAAATTGACTTTTCTCACTTTTGAAAACAAGTTAATCATGTTTGAAAATCACGCTTTTTAGTCGTTGAGAATTACTAGATAATGCAGTAAATAATGGTTTGTAGTGCTCATAGAGGTATTGACGTACTCGGAAATGATACCCATTTCACACAGCAAGCTTCCTTGATGAATTTATAATATGTCAAGGTAGAAAATGAAGATATGAGTCTTGGCCGAAACTTCGATTGTGGAATCAATCAGTATGCTGTTTAAGACCGTTCATTCCTTCAGTACTGGTGAGGTCGCGATATCCACTAAACTAGCGCTTTTCTTCTTCACCTTAATCGTAGTATCTCCTCAATTGAACGAATTCGATTCCTAATCACGACCCCCCCCCCCCCCTCTGTCTTACCCCAGTACGACCCCCCAGGTCGGGCGCGCCTGACCCCACGCTCAACCCTGAGCATGACGTACGTTCTTGTGTCACCGATATTACACCAACGTTGATTAGCTTGCAGTGCTCGCAGACAAAGAGATCCAAGAATTTGGGGCTATAATTTTCATAACAACCCACAATGGTCGGCCGCCTCATGTGGCGTGGGGGTGACACTGGGTGTCGAACTACGGTGCACAGCCGAGTGTATACTCCGGCAGGTCCTCCCAAGCTATGAAGGAATTCGACGTTTCCGGTTTCTGCTGGATGCCTAGCTAAGAGCCGGCCAGACCAGATCCATCGCCGTCTGTTTTCTGGTAGTAAGCGGGTTCTTCCCGCTACAAGTCCGGGGTCAGCGAATTGCCCCTTGGAAATCAAGAGTAGGCCTGGCAAGTCTGCTTTTGTAGGGGAAAAATTTTCATTACCCCGCCAGTTAGAAGAATGGAAAGAAACCCTGCACTGGCTAGCAAGAACGACGTCAGGGTACTCAGAACGCCTTTCGGATTGGACAAAAACGACATGCCCGGACGACACGCTACGGAGACTGCTTCATGTTTTGCAACGCCAAGACAGTCCCCACAAACGCCGACCTCCACGCTTTTCGCGACGCTGCAGAGCACATCAAGTACTACATCATCACTCTGCAGGAAACGAAGTGTTGGAAGAAGGACTTGCGACAGATGAGCGATGTGACCCTCATCATTTGTGGTGAAAATGTTCCATCACGAAACGTGGGAGGCGTCGGCTTTGTCGTCCACCCATCTATCGTCCATCTTGTCGATTCGCACGAGATCCTATCACCTCGACTAGGCATCCTACGATTACGCCCTCCACGTCAGAACACCATCAGCATCATCAACTGCTACTCGCCAACATCAGCAGCTGACGACTCAGAACTAGATGCTTTCTACGAAGACGTGGAGGAGGTTGTCCGCAACCAAAGAGTCCTTTTACAAGTTTGTTGTAGGCGACTTCAACGCGAAAATCGGGATGCCACTAAAAAAGGAATAAGATCGGGAAGTTCGGGTATGGGCTCCGGAACGAAAACGGCAACCGTCTCGTTGGGTTTCTCTCCGCTGCACGACTCTTCCATGGAAATCCCATCTTTATGAAGGAAGAACATTACCGGTGGATGGAAATCGCCCAACGGAACAACTCACGCGGAGATGGACCACATTCTCACCAATAGAAGGTGGAGCTTGCTCGGTGTCTCAGTAGCCATCCTTCTGCAGTGGCTCCGGTCACCGCCTCCTTCGAGCAAAGATACGATTCAGTCGAAGGCTGGAAAAGAAAGTCTATCACAGTGCCGCGAGAAGGAGGGAAGTCGTTTACGACGGTAACAGGATGAAGAGCTTGTATCAAGTTGTGACTGACCCATCGAGGAGGACCTAACGTACGTCTACGACCGGCTTCTGAAAGGATTGCGAGCCTGTGGAGAGTGCGCCTCAGTGACTTGACTTCTGGGAAGAATTTGGAACGCATCTCGAAGACCAATAAGGAAATGCTTGACAGAACAAGATTTCTGTAGTCAACGCCAGTTGCAGAACAGCTTTGCAGAAGGATTTTAGGAAGTACAGGCAAGCCAAGATACTGGAAGCAGCAGAAGGAAGACAAAGTTCTAAGAAGTGCCGAAGGGACCTCTGTGAATATCAAGTGCCGCTGGGTGCACTATTGAACAAAGACGGGACCCCGACTTTTCCCCGATATAAGATGGAATCTGGCGCGAACAACTTCTATAGGGGATATTCGCCGACGACTGCTCGACTCTTGCAATTACACCACCTTGGGCATGCCTTATTGGGGGCCTTTCCAGCTTGACAGTACGCTGCAGCGCGCGGAGACTTGGTAGCTCGCAGCTACCAACCTCTTCCACTCATCAACACGCGTGCCGATGCCCGTTGTTCCCACTGGAGAAGTATCACCACGAATTCCAACTGCTGAAGTGCGCGTAGCGATTCAGACAGTGGAAACGTCTACGGCTCCATGACTAGACCATCTTTCCGTCAACTTTCTGCGAGCCGGATGACAGCGTTTGCACGAGATTCTTGCCTCGCACCTGACATCTTACCTTCAGAAGGAGAGGAAACCCGGCCAGTGAAAAACGTCAAGAACCTTTCTCTTCAAGAAAGGTGTTGGGAGGATCTTCGGAACTACCGTCCAATATGCCTGCTGAGTGTGCTATACAAGCTTTTCATGAAGATTATCCTCGTTCCATATCCAAATGGACGCTAAGAACATCGGAGCGGATTCCTCGCGAAGCGAAACGTCTTTGAGGAAGACTTCAAATAGATGGGCAAACTTGTTTATGGAACGAGAAGTCAGCTGGATACGACTTTCGGATCTTGTGGACGCAGCCACCGACGCAACCAAGAAGAACTGATCTAAGTAAGTGATGCACGATCCGATTGAGGGAGTCACAAAGATAGAAGCTTTGTGAATGGCCTAGGTGAGGTCGTCAAGTGCTGCGGTGCGTTTGTGGCGAACAATCTCGTAGCCAGATGAGAGGTCACAGGCAACTCTTAGGCACTTGAAGATAATGAGAGACATTACACTACTCTGTAGCTAGCTTGTAGTAGAGATTCTTTTTAGTTTCGATTATGCAGTTTTGAGTATACGGGAGCTGGTTTAATTCACATGTACATAAGATTGTTTTCACTTTTAAAGACAGTTTGAAAGCTTAAAAGGTGCACGTCGATCTAGTCGCTCTCATAACAAGAATACGAGCTCGATGTTCGCTTCAAATGAGACTGTCGTGAACGGTTTCCTTCAATCCCGATAAATACTTTCTTGATAGGCCTATCGTTGAGTGAGCTTCATTTTTCTACTATTGTTCGACAAGCTGGCGTTCAATGTTGGATACTTCGATGATACAAGTATGCTCAATGTTTCTGACTGCTTAAGGGCCGGGCATACTTCACCCGATTTCAATCGCGACGCGATTTGGCAATTCGCCAGAAGTCTTCAGATCCAACACTAGCAAACTGCATATGCATAGTGTGTATAACTAACGCGGATTGATGAAACGCCCTATCTTCTGTATATTCAAAATGTGCTTACGGCGAGTTATGGACAGTTGGAATATTGCCAAATCGCGTCGCGAATGAAATCGCGTGCAGTATGCCCGGCCCTTTACGTCGAAACCTAAGCTAGACTTTCGCTACGACAGTTTCATCTTCTCCCAGGGTGAAACTTCATAAGGTCGAAATACGTGTAAGCTTATATGCGAGACGATTTTCTTTTAACAGGAGAATACACAAAGCTTCATCAGCAATTTAGTGCCCCACGTCTTTACATGAAAACGATAGATTAAGTGATCATTTTCAGGTCGCATTGTTCCATGCATATCTCGCATTCACTCTGTTTTTGAGTTTTGTAACCACGTGCTCGAAAGTCAGGAACAGCTCAAGGAAAGCGGCAGGTGCGACTTTACGGCCGGTAAGTGCTAGTGTTTTTCGCTACTTGATGAAAATAGTAAAACCTGCAAGTCGGTATCCAAAACTCCTCGAATTATGATCACCTGTATCACCTGTATCCCCGTTGATCATCGTGTTGCACGAGCGGGTACCAGTGATGCCTCCATTCGTCCCTGTCTCGGGCGATTGTTGACCAATGTTTACGTATCGCACCAGGAACACGTAGAACGCTCTGAAGGACTTCATTAAAGGACTTCGTGAACATATCTGACCATCGCGTCGGCGGTCTTCCTCGTTCGCGTTTGACGTCCAGTGGTATCCAATCTGTTACAGCTCTCGTCCACCGGTTGTCGTCGAAACACATTACGTGCCCGGCCATCTTATCTTGTTCTGCTTGGCGTACGCGGGAGCGTCCCTGATCTTCGATCGTTGACACGTAGTGTAGAACTTCGTAATTCTTGCCTCACTTGCGTGAGTCGATTCAATCCTAACATCACTCTCTCAACAGCTCGTTCAATGACGCTAACCGCATGTTCATCCTGATTTCTCATTGTCCATGTTTCTGAAGCGTACGTCAAAGCAGGAAGAACCGTCGAGTTGAAAGGTGGGCGCGGAGCCGGATGTTCTTGGTCTTCTTCACTACGTCCTCAATTGTCTTATATGCTCCCCATGCTGCACGTTTCCTCCTGCTCAGTTCCGGAGCTAGATCGTTCATCATATTGAATTCACGACCTAGGTAGGTGTAGCTTAAGCATTCGGTGATGTTCGTCCCGTTGAGCATGAAAGGAGCATCAGGCATTCTTCCGTTCCTCATGAACATCGTCTTCGTTAGATTCAGCCGTAGACCGATCTTTCCACACACTTCGTCAAACTGGGCCAGCATTTGTTCCGCCTGCGTGATGCTTGGTATTATCAATACGATGTCATCAGCAAAGCGAAGGTGGTTTAGCTGCCGGCCGTCGACTTTCACTCCCATGTTGTCCCATTCCAACTTTCGCATAACGTTCTCCAGAGCGGCACTGAATAGTTTCGGCGATATAGTATCGCCTTGTCGCACGCCTCTCTTCACGTCGATGATGATATCCTTGTAGAATGGTGCTATGGTGGTTGTGAAGTCGTTATACAGCTCACGAACTATCTTGATGTAATGAGTCGGAATACCTTGATTGCTCAAGGCATCGATGACGGCTTCAGTCTCAACCGAGTCAAAGGCCTTCTTCAAATCTCTGTTAGAGGATCTAACATAAGGCTGTCTGGATACAGTCAGAGCATTAAGACCGAGGAAAAGCCGATGTTTAGTTCAAAACCTCGCCGTTGTAGCTACTCAGACAATTATTGCGACCACCCGCGGAAGGGCGCCGGCCGACGTTTCATCCATGCCGCGGGTGGTAGAATAAACGCACGCCAAGACCCCGAAATCTACCCGTGGATGCGCCGATAAGTGCCCAAACGAAACCCGCGGTGTCCCGGCAATCAAACGATAAATGCGCGATATACGTCCGCGGGTGGGCCCCACACGCACCAGCTAAACGCGGAAATATTTTTATAAAAATCTGTGAACTCGTGTTCTCATTCTTCTAGCCTTCGCAGGAGGTCACGATCTACATCAAAATTTGGCCGAGGACCCTACTGAGGACCGACTTCGTTGCTAGTCATAAGCTAAACTTATATCACCAAAGACTAAAGCGTTTAGGGTGCCTCAATCACCGCGGCATATCTCACGTGAGCAAAGTTTTTGCTTCCAGCGTGTAAGAATTGTGACGTCCAGCAGGGCCCGGGACTCGCCGGAGTGGTTCTAACGGGCCGTGTCCTAAAGGGCCGCGGCTTGCCCGATAACCAAATATGCGGGCGTCCTGTAAGGTCCGGGGCTCGCTCGAGTGTCTTGTCTTAGGCCGCGCGGGTGTTACGATAAAACAGTTATGGCCCGCGGCCTTTCCCTTGCGATAGCATTGAGCCGCGGGTTGCCAAACAAATAAATTTAGGGCCGAGGATGGTCAGTCCAAGAATTTAGCGCCCGCGCACCCCCAAAAAACGACGGTAGGGGCCGCGAATGCTCGCAATAGTTGTCTGAGTATAGCTTAGGGCCGCTAGAGCGCATCAATCCTATAATGACCCTTTAACACGTTTCGGACCGTGAAATCGCGCGCAGCGAAAAAGAGTGGATTTTCAGCCGTTAGCCAACAAAAGGACCTTATTTCGTAGACTGTCTGCTACATCTGTAATCAGCTTGTCAGATAAGTTTCATACTCAAAGTTCTGAGTGAATTCGAAGTCTTTGAATTTTGTCGCTTGAGAAGGGCTTCTGTGCTTTCCTGAAAGACAGGAACAAGAGCTCAGTTTCTAATAGTATCCAAATCTATGTTGTGAACGGTACACATCAATATTGAAACTACGGTTTTTCTCCTTGATATCGAAGCAAAGAAAAGTTGCGACGTTTGCCGCATTTTGTTGCAACTGTTGTTCGATTTGTGATCATATCTCCCAAACAAATATCGGCGGCACAACTCTACAGAGTTGTTTGGAAAGTAGAAGCTTAGGCTTTCGACTTGATAACCTTAGACAACAAGAAAACCTCCTGTAAACGTCAGAAAGGTCCTTCAAAGCAGCATGCTGCACCAGCATGTGCAGCACCGGTCCAAAACGTGTTAAATTACGCGACAAAAATACACCTGAATGCACTGGACTCGTTGCTAAGTATAGAAACATAGTAGAGATGTGCTCACCGCAAGAAAAGTGTATTCGATAGTAAAAGGTTAAATCTAGGGAGTCGCTGTGCTTCGTGCAAAAAAACTTCCAAGCTCACGGTTCGGCACAGCTGGAAACAGGTCAAGCTGGTTATCGCTTCTAAGGGGAAAAACAAAGGAGATGTCGTTTTCGCGCCTTACGGGACGGGGAAGAACCGCAAGCGTGCCGCCGGCAAGTCCGTTATGAAGGCGGCATGCTCTACTCCAAGCAAACAAAAGCTTTGTGTGAAACCAAAACACAATGGTATGACATCAAATATGGTGCGCATGCGCTCAAGGGGACTCGGACTTTGACAGGAAAGTTTGATAACTTATGTAAATGAAAGCCGCGCTGTCTTTTTTCCGAATTAGGTGGAACCATTCCACTTGGGTTCCAGCTGAGCTGAACTGACCCTTTCTCACAAAATTTTTCATCTGTTTTACATAAATACTACAATCACCGCAAGTTTTCTTACGAGCAAAAAGCGGCTTTATAACATCCCCACTACTTTCTTATAGCACTTAATAGTTTTTATTGCCGGCGCAATCCCCTCCGATCGTAAAGCGCGCCCTTAGGCAAGTCACGCTGAGTGCTGTTTATGCTTGCCATTCTACTAGCCTTCCTCTCTTTATGCTCTTATTTGTCACACATGTTTGCCATCATTCTTCGAAGAGGGAAGGGTGAAGTAGGTGGAGAGGGAGAGTACGGGAAGAAGTAGAAAGTGAGTAAGGGAGATTTGGAGGGAGCGGAAAAGTGCTGGATCGGTGGGTGTCCGGCTTCGACTATGGAGTAAAACGCGGACGCATGATTCGGAAAGTAGTAAAAATTTAGAATTTTCTGTCCAATAAATGGTAAAAAAGGGGATTTTCAGCCTTATACTGGGGGCGACAGCACAAGCAAAAAAGACATGTGGGAAGTAGTGAGGACTTAAAAAAACAAAGGGGACTCCGCAAATTTCAAAATTATGGGAGCTTCGTTTCAGAATCTTCCAAGTTCTAGCTGGTGTCGAGCCCTGACCTAACTACATATCTTGGGCACTCCGCGCACAAGATGTGTCACGCTACATCACAACGTTTTTGGGATCCTAAGCTTTGTCCCAATCTAGCAGATGATAAGGTTCACGAGTCCAAATTTCATTAGAGGCTTTGCGTGCTGGCTGGTGCGAGGCTTTAGAAGCCATCCTTACAATCTGTATTTTTCCCGCGTAAATTTGACAGGTCGCGATTGTTGGTTAGAGATTTGCACTCCTATAAGAAAAGGACACAATTTATGTGACCTTTCTACATGTGATGCATTTAGAAACAGTCTCGATCTCAAGCGTGTGCTCGCTAAGCAAAGCGATCATTTGGAGGAAATATCGTTTTCCGATAACAAAGTTGCGCTGTTGCAGAGGCTCTAAATGGGTGTCGCAATGTTCTCTTGCTCTTTGTTCATCGAATACAAAAAATCAATATAACTACAATGGTGTTTTGTCACTAATGTTGCTCAAATTCTTAAGGCAGGCATTTCGCTAGCACTGTGGGTTCAAAGTATTGAGTTCCGTATGCGTTTTTTTTCTCAGGAAAACACTCATAACTTTCTAAAGTTAGCTTTGCAGATAGCAAACAAAGATTTGAGATTAGCTTTAAGACGAGTATCTCCATACCCATCAATGTGTAAAAAGCCGGCGTAAGGTAGTGTCCAGCTCAGAGCTGTTGAGTTTGGACTCCTAGAACTGTTCAAAAAAGTTTGAGAGAAGAGAAAGCCGCAAGTGCGGCAGTATTTACAAAACAATCATCAAGCCTCTTCTCATCATTCAAGGTAAAAGCACCTCAAAAACCAAAAAATAAGCAGTGCCTTCCAAAAGAAGCCAAGACTCAGCAAGCATCTGCTCCTATGAAAAGTGATGACACTGAACAAGGTTTGAGAACAGTCTCATTGTACGTGTTTCTATGGTTGTTTGCTCTCAGGAGTGCAGGTAATAAAGAAGCAAGAGAAAAACAAAAAAGAAAATGTTAAAGAAATAAAAGTAGTGCAACCGCGAAAAGGTACTGGTTGAGGTCTTGTTTGAATACCCCTCGATACGAGAATGACTTTTTTGTGCAAATTTAGAAAAAACGAAGAATCCGGTTAGTATGAACGAAGGAACACCTATTGATGCTCATCAGTTGGAGCTTCTAAATGAAGCACAAAACATGGGTTAGCGTTGTCTCATACGCACTCAAAACATGGTTCAAATGTTTGCAGAGCATTCCAAGAATACCGATTATGTGAACCCAGACTTGTGTTTCGATGATGTTATTTCGGAAAAAAACAAATAATGCACATTATCTGTGAATTTGCTATTAATTTCGCAAAATTGTCAAAAATATAACGAAAAGTCACTTACATTGCTTCCGTCTATGTTTATAAGTAATAAACACATTGAAACTTCCCACTTTACAAAACCAGTCGTACTCAATCAGTTTCTGTTTGGTATGGCCCACTTTCCTGACAGTGATGCTGAAGGTGTATGCGGATGAAGGACTCGTACATGAACTTCCGCAGCAGAGATGCAATTTCATTTATTGGGAAGCGCTTGTTCATGGTAGGGGACATTCAGTTCGGGAGGTTACTGTCGTATATGGTCGGCTGAGCAGTTGCTCCTAATCTTGGTTTGGCAGATTCTTGCTTTTTTGAAGAACGCAGGTACTTTCTGGTGAAGGCGGTAGTTTCGAGTAGGCAATAGAGTGTGAATTTGGGCACTAAAGAATTATCTAATACTTCTGCATTTCTAGCTTTTCGAAGGTAAGCTAAGATCCAATTGGAAGCAATATTGCTATTGTGTAGAATATTTGATTGTTACTAAAGAAAAATATTGCTATTGTGTAGAATATTTGATTGTTACTTCTCCTTTACTGCTTGATACAATCATGGCCACGTCAATCCGGCCAAAGGGTGCCGATATCGTTGTACTGAAGTGATACCCTAATTTCACGAGCACGGTACTCACCTGTTTTTTCTAATCTCATCAGCCCGAACGCACCAAAAGATCTCGCGACTAAAGGACCCTTTATTGTGCTGCTCCTTACTTGATAGCATAGTGAGAAGAACGACCTTCTCCGAGGCACAGTAGTGCGGCAGAAATGCTTGTTTGAAAAAATGAAAAGGGCGTCTTGTAGTTGTGAAATTTAAGGCAAAGGTGAGAAGGTAAGCTGCAAAGGGTGTGCTATATGGAATAGAAGAATCGTTGCATTTTTATATGGAACAATTTGTCAAAGAATACGTTGCGGTTTTTAGTAAAAAGGATTGTTCTTTTTTAGTGAAAAGGATTGCGTTTGGAACAAGAGTTTTATATTTAACGAACAGCGTGAAATTGGACGCATGTATCAATCTCCCAAACTGACCTGTGGCCGTATTCATCATTGCTACCTGGGGTAAAATTTACCTTGAGGTAGTTTATACCTCAAGGTAGATCTACCTTAAGGCTGTTTCGTATTCATCAAAGTACCTCAAGGTTGATTCCACCTCAGCTTTCATGATGTACAGTGACGCTCATTCAGGGCATGCCATAAATCTCAGCGGTGTGTAAACTTCCTCATTGTTAATCTCTCTTTTCTGCTTTCGATTTTAGGACCGTTCACACGCAGTGCTCGCTTTGAGTATGTTGCGCCGCTGGAAGAGCGGATGAGAAAGACAAAGAGCACTAGGTAATCACAGCCTGATACTTATAAGACATATCAATCTCGTTTTTTTGTAATTTATCTCAAAGCGGTCCTGTGTAGAAATTTTCCAAGTGTAAATATTACAGTCTGCACTCCGGATCAGGCCGAGATTGACATGATGCCCGTCCGCACTGCCATACTAACGTCAGTTCTGCGGTTTGCTGCTGTAATGTGTCACGAATTGTCCGTTCTCTTCTCAGTTTCTGCGATCTCTCCGGCGTGCGCGTGCAGCGCGCATGCAGCACTGTTGTGAACACGCGATTGAGCCAATGTCTGTGAACCACTGAGACGAACTATACCTAGAGTCAACTTCCACATGTCAAGACACCTATGCGATGGGTAGAGGACTATTTCGTCGAGAAGTTGCGGTCCCCGCGGTCATTTGCAACAAACCGCGCCTTTGCACATGCACAGAGTTGCATTCCTGCAAGAAATCCGCGCGGGACCCTTCCGCATCCGGCGACTACTCTGACGTTCGTTGCGTACCAGCGGCGTTCGATGCTCATCTGAGGGAAACACGCAAACGCCGCTGGTAGGGCAGTCGCACGCCGCTCGTACGCTGTGGAAGTTCGCTGGTACGCTGCTGATACGCCAGGAGGGTACGACTTCGTTAGAGGACCCCATGTTCACTCGATTTTTGATTACTGTACTGCAGCACTAGCTGGTTTGGAAATAGGGCAAAAGACCCTTTTCGATCGACAGACTTCATTGAGTCAAAAACAAAGAATAATGAGCCTTACAACGCTTAATGGATGCCATCAGGTCAACACGATAAGAACAACACTCGATCTTATTCATCACTAATTGGCTTTCCCGGTCCAGCCCGGGTCATTGGTCACCTGGACCGCGAGCCTCCTCCCTCTTCTTATATGTTATGGATGACTTACCCTGGGATCCGCTTCGAAACCGCATTTTCGTGATCCTGAGATGGAAATGAGCTTCACCTCCCTCCTTTACATGACCATGGGAAATGCTTGATTAAACATGATGAGCCCTCGATTCTTTAGAAAAACGTATACAAATCAATAAATCGATAGAAGGACCCAATGAATTGCCGCAAAAGGTAGCCTATCATCTGCGCAAAGGTCAAAAACATATGTATGCAAAGTTTTAGCTGAATCTTTTGAGCGGTGCGAGTTTCTATAACGCACATACTCTCCAAACTGACAATTTTTGAGTTTTATCTTATATATAAAGCTGAATGTCTGTTTGTATGTCTGTCTGTATGTCTGTCTGTACGTATGTTCCGAATAGAAAATTCCATTTCTGAACCGATCCGGACCAAACTTGGCACACATACACTACGGGCCCCGGCGGGTGTCATAGGCTACTTTTCGTCATCGATCGATATCGATTTTATCGATTTTTATCGATTTTTTTTTGCTGAGTTCACTTACGGGGCTGGGAGTTGGCACAGGGGGGTAATCGAGCATGAGGATTCCGAATACAATATTGGTTTTCGGGATTATCGATTACTTTTATCGATTTTATCGATTTTTTTGCAAAGTTTGAGCTACGGGGCTGGGAGTTGGCACAGGGGGGTAATCGAGCATGGGGATTCCGAATACAATATTGGTTTTCAGGATTATCGATTACGTTTATCGATTTTATCGATTTTTTGCAAAGTTTGAGTTACGGGCTGGGAGTTCCCCCTGTGCCAACTCCCAGCCCCCTAGCTCAAACTTTGCAAAAAAATCGATAAAATCGATAAAAGTAATGGACGATCTTGAAAACTAATATTGTATTCGTAATCTGCATGCTCGATTACCCCCCTGTGCCAACTCCCAGCCCCGTAGGTGAACTCTGCAAAAAATCGATAAAAATCGGTAAAATCGACATCGATCGATAACGAAAAGTGGACTGTGACACCCGCCGGGGCCCGAAGTGTATGTGTGCCAAGTTTGGTCCGGATACGGCGGAGCCGGGTAAGCCAGCTAGTATATATATATATATATATATATATATATATATATATATATATATATATATATAGATTGTCAAGTAGCAAGAAATGCTGACCAGCCACGTGAATGCTGAGGCAGCCCAGCCACTGCGTCGTGTCCACTGCGGGTACTGCTTGCGCATACAGCGTGGTGTAATGTGATGGGACGCCGCTCGTCGTCACAACAGTACGCAGCTGGTAGCGCTGATTACGGAACGCCGCTCGTAAGCTAAGCGCAGAACATAGAACGCCGCTGGTACACGAATGTCAGAGTAGTCCTCCACCGATATGCGACTGCAATGTTCTGCGTAGTTCGGTGCTTATCCTTGAAATAATAAGGTAATTGTGCAAAAATGTTGTTACAGATGGAGTAGCATATGCAAGGACTCTATAATTTTGGTCTCTTCAGTAAACAATCAATTACTACATTGAACAAATTCAAAACTTTCGATTGCCGTTATGAGACCAATGTGCCGTCTCAGACACTGGGATTGGACGAGCCGTGGCCTTTGATTACTACTGCGGGCGGTCTCCACACTCTATGGACTAGCTAGCCGAGGAATACTGGTTGCAGTAAACTTAGGGTCTCCGCCGAATTAAATTGAGGATCCCTGCTCGCTTAGTGTATTCTAGTTATTGGATCAAAGGGCGCGGGTAGGTGGCATTACGGCTGCCTTAGAGTTCTTCATTTGCTAAAAATCCGCCGCTCGTGCGTTCTCAGAATCTGAGATTTGGAGAATGTATGAGTTTATGGCACGTACTTTTCTAGCTGCTTCGGCTGCAGATGAGATTAGAATGAACCCTACTGCAATATAAGTTACCTTGAGAAGCTACCTCAAGGTAGAATTTACCTCAAGGTATAATTTCGTACTCATCAAAATTTGTCTCTGAAGGTTAAAATCACCTGTGCCAGCATGATAAACACTGACGTTTTCTCAAAAAATGGCATGGCGCACTTGCGGTGAATTGCTTTTTTTCATATCTGCATGATATTTACGCGAGGATACTTATGTCTTTAGAGTGTGAAGCGCTACAGTTGGTGAATTGGAGAGGATAGGGCTTGAACATTCAATAATTTTAGGTTTCAAGACTCTATCCGGGGAATTATCTGCTTCTAGGTGGAATTTACTTGAATTGGAAAAAAATTTCCTTACTGCGATGCCTACCTGCCTGAAGAATGTTGTGCTTGCTCGGCATCGAACATTATCCACAATCTCGACGTGCTTCATAAAAATGATTTCCCAGTCACAACTAGGGATTCGCCTAGTTTGCTGATGAGCTTAGAGTTGTTTCATACTGCATTCGCAGCAGCCAATGGACTGCAGCTGCGGCAGCCAATCCGCTGCTGCATGAAACAATCCTTAGACGATAAGTTTTTTTTCAAGTCCTTCTGAGTGTAAGGAGAACGCGCGGTGTTTAGTGAACTGTTTCTGCTCAACTTTCTTTCCAAATCACGGAAACATGATTTTATCAAGACAGCTTAAAATTCCGAAGTGAAATTTTGTGATGAAACGCTTTGTGAAGATTCCGATGCTTGCATTACAAACTTATACATCAGAGGCAACATCTAGTTATGTGAGTCGAAGGTGAATGGATGAACAAAGTAAATAAAGAGCAAAGGGTTAGAATTTTTTTGCTAGGCTAGTAAACTTTTTATCTCTTTTTTCGGGTTCTT